TAAAAAATCCACAGCCATTATCATTCTAAATGGAGAAAAACTGAAAGCATTCCCATTAAAGTCAGGAGCCAGACAAGGATGTCCACTATCTCCACTCCTTTTCAACATAGTGCTTGAAACTCTTGCTAGAGCAATAAGACAGGAGAAGGAAATTGAAGAGTACCAATGGAAAAGAAGAGGTCAAACTATCACTTTTTGCAGATGATATGATACTATACCTAAGAGAACCCAAAGTTCCACCAGAAAAGTCCTAGAACTGATCAACACTTTCACTATAGTGGCAGGTTACAAAATCAATCTACAAAATTCAGTAGCCTTTCTATATACCAATAACAAGCAATTGGAGAAAGAATACAGGGAAATGCTCCCATTCACAATTGCTGCAAAAAAATTAAAATATCTTGGATTAATCTGACAAAAGACACCAAAAATCTCTACAATGAAAATTTTAATTCGTTAAAGAGATTGAGGAAGACACCAGGAGATGGAAGGACCTCCCATGTTCATGGACTGGAAGAATTAATATTGTGAAAATGAGCATCCTACCAAAAACAATATACAGATTCAATGTAATCCCAATCAAAATTCCAGTGACATACTTCACAGAATTAGAAAAATGCATCCTTAAATTCATATGGAGGCACAGAATACCTCGGATAGCCAAAGCTACCCTGAGCACAATGAGCAATGCTGCAGGGATTACTATTCCAGATCTCAAAGTATACTATAGAGCCATAGTCATAAAAACAGCATGGTACTGATGCAAAAACAGACACATAGATCAATGGACTATCACTGAAGTTCCAAACCTGAGTACACACAATTTCAGCCACCTGATATTTGACAAAGGGGCCAAGAACACACAGTGGAGGAAAGACAGCATGGTCAACACATGGTGCTGGTAAACTGGAACTCCACCTGTAGGAGAATGAATCTAGACCCTTATCTTTCACCTTGCACAAAAGTCAACTCCAAATGCATCAAAGACCTCAATGTGAAACTGGAAACCCTGAAACTATTAGACGAAAATATTGGCAGTAACTTATAGGACACAAGTGTAGGAAAGGATTTCTAAATCAGACAGAAGTTGCTCAGGAATTAAGGTCAGCAATCAATAAGTGGGACCTCATTAAA